GCAAATGACTGCCTTATTATTTGAAAACTGATATTTTTGCATTTGATTATAGCGTTGTCTGTGAAATGTTTATTTTCGAATTGACATCTCATAAATTGTGATAATTCCGTATTCTTGAATTTCTATAAAAGTTTTTCTAGACATATTAGATTGGCAGTTATGCTAGAATGTCTTTATGAACGGCTACCTTTCTAAATTTGAGCCCAAAATATTTGACTGGTTATTTTTGAAATGTTATTGAAAGTGACTGTTATTAATTGTTTCGGTGAAATTCATACTAATAATTTCAGTGATATGTTGAGTACATGATATTGCTGCTTTCGAATGTTTGAATAGAGTTAGAAATAATTTAAGTATGCAAGTAGACTCATCCGGTTCGCCGGTGAGGTATAAGTAGACCTATCCAGTACGTCGGTCGAGATTAAGTGGACTCATCCGGTACGTCGGTGAGGTATAAGTGGACCTACAGGGATTAAGTGGACCTATTTGGGATGTCGATAGGGATTAAGTGGACCCATCAAGACGCTGATGGGCTATATAGGTGACCTACTTGGGACGTCAGTAGGGTAATTTGTGAAATCCTTTGAATTATGCACTGCCGTTAAAATGTTATATGCATTTCAATTATTCGGATTATACTTAATTATGCATTTTTTAAAGTGGAACTGTTAATGCATTTCTGTTAATAGTTCTCCTTTTTAAAAAATATTGATATCTTTCAACCATGATTATTTTTAGAATTATGATGATCACTTACTGAGTAGCCAAACTCATCAAATTATGGTAAACATTTTTTTTTCAGGATAACTGCGATTTCATTTTGAATGTTTGTCAGGATCAACTCTGAAAGATATTGTTGTTGTGGTTAAACTTTCTTTTGCTACTTTGTAAGAATTCGCCATTGTAAATTTGTCCCATCAAGAGATGTATATATGTTTTGACTGTCACATCTCAGAAATATCAATATTGTAAATTCTTGGGGTCTGACAGTATGGTATTTGGATGGAAGCACATTTGTGTTATGTATAAATTGTGTTTTATGAGACTTGGCTTGTGTGTAGTCCCTCGCATGCCTGTACCATGTATGATTTAGAATTAAAGAACCTCTCACATTTGTGTGTACAGATAGCAGCAGGGGTGAAGAGCTCCCTCGCATGTCTGTGTACAGAGAGACACATGGCCAAGCATGGCCAAGCATGTCTGTGTACAGGAATTCTTTTTATAAAATTAAAAAGAAAGAATCTATTTTTTCTCATATTCATCACAAATAATATATTTTTATATAAAAAAAAACGTAATTTTATTAAGAAACACATTTTTTTTGAAGGACCCTAAAAGCCAAAGAACACAAATTCTTTAGAGTCAAAATCAGCCCCAAAT